TTTTACCTATGGAATAAATCATCTTTGACTTTGACTTTGACTTTGAAGGACTTTCCTTGCTCCGACAGATTTAATGTCCTCTGGTTATGGCAAGTGCCTTGCCAGTATGGAGCTTCGTACGCCCATCAAGGGGTAAAATTGGGTGAGAAGATGAGCAGGAGTTTCATCCGCCTCGTGGCAAAATCTACACTCTCTATTCTCTCTCTGCCCAATGTTTGACATGCTTGTTCAGGCCACAAAGTCCTGTTAAGACTCTTGTGAGCATTCTGAAGCCATTCCTGTCCAATGACAGAGCTTCTCTAGTGATAGGCACTGCAGGCAGCTATCAGGGCTTTTGAATGCTCAAGACCCTTTACTCTGTAGCCACACTTCTCGGGAGACGTGTGTGCTCTCGTCCAGCAGAGTGAGCTTTGCGAGGCTGTATGCTATCGCTGTAAAGGGTTCGGGTCCAATAAAGGATTCCCTAGCACCAACCTTTGCCAGTTCGTCTTCTGCCTCATTTCCCTCAATGTCAGAGTGACCTGGAACTCAGCGAAGGACCAGTTTATTCCTTTCCTCGAGAGCATTCAGTATAGTCCCACAGTTCTCTACAATCCTCGATGTTTGGGTGACAGAGGTAAGTGCATGAAGAGCGGATTGACTATCTGAGTTTATGTAAATATACTTGTTAACATAGCCTCTCTTTAGGTTCAAGTCCGTACAAGCAATTATGACGTACATTTCTGCCTGAAAGATAGAGGAGTGTCATCCCAATTTCAGCTTATAGCTGAGCCTGGGTCTCACGCCGTGTATACCACAGCCTACTTTGGGTTCCATCTTAGACCCATCAGTACACCAAAGAAGGCTACCATCCTTCCAGGTAAGACTGTTGGTTTTCCAGTCTTCCCTGGTTGGAAATTCTACCTGGTAGAGATTTTTACAGTTTAGTTTGGGAAGTATGACACCAGAAGTCTTTCCCAAAACAGGATATTCCTGAATTGAGTCTAAGTGTACGAATGTGAAGGAATTTAAACTTAAGATTTCAATAAGACATTTAAAATTAAGATTTAGGAAAACTTAAATATGCTTTCATAGGTTATGTAAGGAAAACCACTAGTATGACTCAATTAAACAAATCAATTCATTCAATTAATTAACCGATTTGTAGTTGGCTTTACAATTGGCCATCACTAAACAGTCTATGGTCAATTCAGCGACTTGCTTATTTACTTTTTATTCAAAGTGGATTGAAACAAAGTATAGTTATATTATTGTGTAACAGAAATAATTTTATACAAATGCATGAATTGCTAATGTTGACATTTTAATATAATTGCATTTTCAAATTTTTATCAACTTTGACAGTTGCCTCCTTGGTATGGAAATAAATTCAAGAATGACCGAGGCATGATTTTGTACTTCAAGTCAACATCTATTATTACTATACAGTATTTACATTTTGTTAATATCAATAATATTGAAGAGACAAATTTGGCTTTATTGCGTAAACATAACCAATATTCAGTCGAGCCCATATAATATTTATCAACTGCAATGACTAAGTGCTGTGTGTAAAAAGTGTAAACTGGTAATCCTTTTTATGCATTGAACTCTAATTTTATTGTGCTTTGGAGAAAACTATAGTATAATTTTGCAGGTGAACGTATATATTTGTTCAATTCATTTATTTTGTTCAATATTTCAATATCAGACATTACAAACGCAAGAACCCTGATCGATGTTTATAGGGATTCTAGACATGTTTTAGTAGTTACCGTGACAGGTGAGTCAACTCGTTGGACGTTACTCTCCTCTACAAGGATCTCTCGTGCTTTCGCGCATAGAGCCTTAACCTCCGCCTCCTGTATTATCTCGCATCTCTTCAATTGTTCAATCTGTCTGTCCAAATCACTAGTGTCCGACATCGTCACTTTTAAATAACCACGCTTCTGTAACAAAAAATTGGGGGTAACAACTATCATTGTGTAAATGACCCATCAAAAAAAAAACCTTTCTTTATCAATGGCATCGCTAACCCGGAGCCGTTTTACAAAACCCTATGTTTTAAAATGATCTAGAGTAAATACTTACAAATAACTATTAGCCCTAAGCTTGATTTTGGCTTAAAAACAGTCGTTTTTCTTATTTTTACAAACAATCACAGTCCACCATTACAACGTTCATGTCATAGACAAACTTTTTTTACTCTTCAAACATGGCACAGATAAAAAAGTTATCCAAAATCCAAATTACATTGAATTCAATAAATACATATTTTGCAGAACGCGTGCTGAAGAGTACCACAAGCTCAAAACATACAAATTCTCCTCATATCTCTTTCCGTATAGTATTAGCTGAAAGAGAAGAAAGATAAAAATTATATTCAATGCAGTGAATGAAATGCAATCTTTTTCATGGATTTATTTTCTCTATGGTCTTTGAGATTAATTTTGACATTAAATTCATGTTTTCGTGCGCTTTTCCCGCACAAAATTATTTTGGTATATAGTTGATGGTAGTTCCATAATTAAATAGCTACGAATTATTGTTCTGCGGAGTGTGTTACCGCCGCGCTGCTACAATTCTTATACGTTTATCTATTACTCATTGGCCGGTCGCGACGTTTGTGTTATTGATTTATCGATAGTTTTAGTGAAGTTAATGTTATTGTGAAAAAGTAACTCTACTTTGTTACGAAAAACATGGGAAACATTCACACCGTTGGACCCAACGAGGCTCTCGTCGTATCAGGTGAGTTTGGGGAAAATGTAACAGGAAAACGATTACAAATATTTGGTATACATAACCTCAAGGCGTTCAAATTTTTATATTTTTTCTAATTAGGCCAGAAATAAAATTGATCTTGTACGTTGTATCGAGACTGGTTTTAGTTTCGATTAGGAGCAGTCACGCTTAGTTATTATGATCTATCACAAACATGGGCTGAGATAATGTTATTTACTCTGTTTGTTTACATATCCTTCTACCTGTTTAATTGCTTGAAAGTTCTTTTATCTATGGGATCTCATGTGTGGCCGACGCCCAGTTTAATAGTTAAAATTCAAGGTTATTTAACTATGAAATGCATGTCTAGTAAATACTCCATGTGAATGAATGAATTCAAGGTCAATAGGAGCTCAAGAAGTGATTAGTTCCAGCGTAGTTATGTCATTAGACACAGAGAGAATACTCATCTGTATATGTCTACACATATCTACACAGTATAATATTTGAAGTACAGAAATATTGTATTATTTTTGTTAGTTCAATGTATCTTTAATCAGTGCATATTCTTTGTGTCAAGAATCTTGACTCAAGATGTCTTTTTTAGAAAGTCTAAGAAACATGATAGTGATCCACCTTAATCTTAATAAATTTTAACAACATCATATTGTTTTAAAATCAAACCACTAAACTTTTAGACACAATATTTTTGTTTTATACATTGCTGGAATTAATTTTGTATAACCACAAAACGCACACAAAATCAATAAAAATAATATTTTTAATTTTAGAATTAAAATAGTAAAAGACAACTTTTAATTTTAATTGATTCTATAACTATTCAGTTCATCAATATTGATATGCATTAAATACATTAATAAAATTATTTCATATACGCATATATGAAATTTTGTAATCATAATATGGATGGATGTCATTTTTGAAATAAAATTCCCTTATTTTATGTTATTTTATTGCACAATAATTTATTAGCTGATAGTGAGTAATCCACATAAAATTCCTACGATATGTATGTATATGTAAAAATCTTATCAGTACACATGTTTTCAGCAGTACAGGTATAGTTTGTTATGCTGACAAGTATTTTAGTCATACAGATATCCATTGAGAAGATAACATGCTAAGTAAATCCCTGTTATCTTGTTCAGTTAGTTCAATACTGCCCTCAGAACAAAAAAGGCACAACTGCAATATAAATTACGCATAGTTGTGCCTTTTTTCATTATGAGGGCAGAATACAATATTGTATAGGTTCTCCATAAGAAATAACTTTCAATTTCTGTGTGAGTCACTGCATTATAAGATTGATAAATTGTAAGTTTCTTTGTCATTATTATTTTGATGAATTGAAATAATAAACTAACATTTAAATCTCATTAAAATCATTCATCCTCTTGTTATGTATATTTTAGTAATGCTCTAATTTTGTTTCTCTTTCACTCACTGTACTTAATAAAAGATGTAACAATGACTGACTGAGGGTCGTATTCTAGAACTCTACTCAATGCTCAAGTCAGGATTTGAGTATGGTTTAAAGCACTCGAAATCATACTTAAGTCCCTGCCATTAGAGTCGTATTTCCAGTGCTTGTGTTTCCAGTGCAATCCTGACTTGAGCATTGAGTAGAGTTCTAGAATACGACCCTTAGTGATTCTCAAAGGACAGTAATATAATATCAGGGTTCAAAGTGTTAAGTTATTGTTGATAATTGATAATTATCTTTGTTATAGTTATACCTTGATATTTATAAAATTGATGAGATAAGCAAAATGCTATTGCTAGCAATCAATGTCTGTGCCATGTGTTTGTATCAGAGATGTATCAAAATGTGTCAAATGTCAATCTCAAAAAGTCAGAAACCAACTTGTTTTCCCCGCAGATTTTTATTCATGTTTATTTAATTTTCTCTCTGTTTGTTAAAAATTAAAGAGACATGACGATTAATCGGCATGGATAATTACTGGATATATTATCAGATAATTATCAAGGAAAATAAATATGTTCATAATTTCGAACCCTAATTAATATAAATATTACGAAACCATTCCCCAACTTCGTTTAATCATATCTGCAGCTTTTTCCCCAATCATAATCGCGGGTGCGTTTGTATGTGCCACTATGGTCCTTGGGATCACACTGCTGTCTACGACACGTAAGTTATTCACGCCATACACTCGAAGTTCAGGATCCACTACTGCATCAGGATCCCATGCTGGTCCCATTTTACAAGTTGCAATTTGATGATGCAGTGTCGAAGTAACTGTCCTTATAGCACACTCCCAGTAATTATCACTACCGAATTCGTATTGAACACAATTAGGAAACTTCTTAGTATGTAACTTTGCTCCATATTTTTGGAATGGAGGAGTATCGACTAGCTTTATTATATACCGTATTGCTGCTATTACAGTAGCTACGTCCTTCGGATGCGTCAAGTAGTTGCCGTAAAGTTTGGGATAATCAAATGGGTTTCTCGATCTCAATTTCAAATGTCCTTTAGATTTAGGATGTAGTAACATGAATAGAATTGAAAAGCTCTCAAGGTTTTCAAGTGGTTTGAAAGTGTCTCTATACAGCCAATCAGCTAAATGTATTCCCTTAGCAACAATATTTCCTTCATCTGAAGCTAAAGATGCACATCCTCCTAGTAACTCTACATCAGGTAAATCACCCAATTCATCAGATTCATTAGTTTTGATGTAACCGATTGTTTCCACACCAGCTAAGGATGACATAGGACCGTCTCCATATTGAGAGAACTTTACAAAATTCTCAATCGTCGATTCTCTTCTTTCAATAATAGTCAATCGAGTAGTGTTTAAAATGAAGGGTAATGCCGGAAATGTTATGTGGTCATACAATGTTTCTCCTACTCTCAAGTCTTGCACAACTGGTATGTCGAAAGATTCTAAGTGTTCTTTTGGACCGATGCCAGAAAGCATCAATAAATGTGGAGATTCAATTGGTCCAGCAGACAGAATGACTTCTTTCTTTGCTTTTATTTGGTATACACGCCCGTTTCTCTGAAATTCTACTCCATATGCTGTTTTTGTTGCTGGGTCGATCAAGACTTTAGTAGCTCTAGTGCTGTGAAGAATATGTAAGTTTTTCCGTTTCTTTTTGCTGTGAAGGAATGCTTTTGCGCTACTCCAACGGTGACCTTTGGACATGGTTGCTTGTATATAGCTGAAGCCGAAATAATCCGGACTGTTATAGTCTACTCTGCGATGACCTAGATATTTTCCTGCATCTAGGAAAGCTTTGGATAACTTGGACCTGAAAAGTTTTGAAAAATTCGTAATTGTAGTGTACATTTTATGATAAATAACTGAGGCTGCCAATTCGGAACGGAGGTGCGTTCAGCGGGGCGTTCAACGCTTGCGCGTACACTGTATCTTGTGTTGGATGTGTCTTGTACACACGATTGCGCGGAAAGAACGCACAAACCTTCATCGCCCCGCTGAACGCACCACTGTTGCGAATTTGTGACCTAAAACAACTGTTTTACCTAAATGGCACGTATTCTACAGCTAGCTCTCCGTCTCGACCGTGCCAGGGTGAATTTTGTAATCTTTTGAGATTTGCGCGCTCTGACTTCAGGTAGTACGGCAATATTTCTTGATAAGACCTGTATAATGTACAAACATTACGTACACAATTATTTTCTACTTTTAATAAATACTCTTATGATGATTTTCGTTTCAGGTAACTTTTTATTTTTACTTTTAACTGACAGGTTGTTAGATTCGACAATATTATAAAATATTATCTTAAAATATGATCTTATCATTTTAAATTTTTATTGCATTGATGTTCAATTATTTTTTGAGGAATTATTCCACTAGTTTGTTAATAATTATAATCTTATCGTGTAATCTACAGATCGGAGATCGCCTTATAAATAGCGATAGTGTTATTTATCATTACACTTGCCGACAAATAGTCTTATGCCGCGAGTTGTCAGATATAAACCCTTGTTTCTGACAATTGAATCAAATTGTATATGTAAACACCATACCCGCTCATCACTCTAAGAGCGCCCACCCAGTGGGCCACTAAACGCTACCACAAGTTAAGGATACCATTTTTTTATACATTTTATTTGGCATCGGCGCAAACTAAGCATATGAGTGGCCGCGTCCGAGGCACGAGCTGCGGGAGTGGCCCGCGCTGGCTACTTGCATCATCCCTCGTCACTCGCGCACCCTCTCGGCCATAGTCCCCGCCCTGCACTGGTGCCGTTTTAACGACTCGTTCGCTAGATCTAGGAAAATGTATAAATGTTTACTGGGCAAAAATTCAGTTTTAGCGAGAAATAAATATTTAGCGACTTGTAGCGTCTTTTTGACCCGTATTATTTAAAAAAATATAAAAATCGCGACCTGTCAATCAAAGTAAATCTAAGGATAAAAATAAATTCTTATGTGCTATTTCATGTCTAATGCTGTTAACGTTAATGGCGAATCCGGCAAAATGGACGATTTCTAGCCGCACTAATGGCCGCGACTGGTGGCCGCAGTCAGCCACTAGTGCTTGCGACTTGTGACCGCGTTTAGTGGCATCACTCAACCACTACTGGTCGCCTTTAGTGGCTGTGTCTAGTGGCCGAGTGGGCGGCGGCGCTAACTGTTACTAACACCCTCATATCAGACTAACATATAAGGATTCACCCACCAGCCATAATTTCCTTCAGCCGCAATCCTGTCCCAGTCCGTTGGAATACCGCGAGTATATATCATGTAGTTTATTACACTGCTGCCGCCTACTGCTTTCCCTCGTGGCCAGAAGCACCTTCCGCCTTCCATTCCTGAAATCATTACAATCGTAGTTCAGTGATAATATAATTTTTATCAATAATAAAAACTTTGTTACTTGATATTTACGTGCTATATACTCGACACCAGAAGTATCAATTAAAGTAAGGGACATTTTGTCGAAAATGAGTTACATATACTCGTATCATTGGATTCGGAGGTTACCGCTCTATCAATTGGTATTATTAAAATTGAGGAATGCTCAGTGGTTTAAAATATAGCATGTCCCTTACATTAAAAAAAACATTAAAAAAAGATGTTTAGTTGTGCCTTACGTCACTAATATTTTATGTGTAAACCGTCGAGCACAGTGTAAGCAGGAAGAGAAATAGAAAATTATATGTTACCCTAGTGTAAAGACTCCTTTACATCAAATATTAGTAACGTAGGCACAACTAAACATCTTTTTTTAATGTTTTTTTTAATGTAAGGGACATGCTATATTTTAAACCACTGAGCATTCCTCAATTTTAATAATACCAATTGATAGAGCGGTAACCTCCGAATCCAATGATACGAGTATATGTAACTCATTTTCGACAAAATGTCCCTTACTTTAATTGATACTTCTGGTGTCGAGTATATAGCACGTAAATATCAAGTAACAAAGTTTTTATTATTGATAAAAATTATATTATCACTGAACTACGATTGTAATGATTTCAGGAATGGAAGGCGGAAGGTGCTTCTGGCCACGAGGGAAAGCAGTAGGCGGCAGCAGTGTAATAAACTACATGATATATACTCGCGGTATTCCAACGGACTGGGACAGGATTGCGGCTGAAGGAAATTATGGCTGGTGGGTGAATCCTTATATGTTAGTCTGATATGAGGGTGTTAGTAACAGTTAGCGCCGCCGCCCACTCGGCCACTAGACACAGCCACTAAAGGCGACCAGTAGTGGTTGAGTGATGCCACTAAACGCGGTCACAAGTCGCAAGCACTAGTGGCTGACTGCGGCCACCAGTCGCGGCCATTAGTGCGGCTAGAAATCGTCCATTTTGCCGGATTCGCCATTAACGTTAACAGCATTAGACATGAAATAGCACATAAGAATTTATTTTTATCCTTAGATTTACTTTGATTGACAGGTCGCGATTTTTATATTTTTTTAAATAATACGGGTCAAAAAGACGCTACAAGTCGCTAAATATTTATTTCTCGCTAAAACTGAATTTTTGCCCAGTAAACATTTATACATTTTCCTAGATCTAGCGAACGAGTCGTTAAAACGGCACCAGTGCAGGGCGGGGACTATGGCCGAGAGGGTGCGCGAGTGACGAGGGATGATGCAAGTAGCCAGCGCGGGCCACTCCCGCAGCTCGTGCCTCGGACGCGGCCACTCATATGCTTAGTTTGCGCCGATGCCAAATAAAATGTATAAAAAAATGGTATCCTTAACTTGTGGTAGCGTTTAGTGGCCCACTGGGTGGGCGCTCTTAGAGTGATGAGCGGGTATGGTGTTTACATATACAATTTGATTCAATTGTCAGAAACAAGGGTTTATATCTGACAACTCGCGGCATAAGACTATTTGTCGGCAAGTGTAATGATAAATAACACTATCGCTATTTATAAGGCGATCTCCGATCTGTAGATTACACGATAAGATTATAATTATTAACAAACTAGTGGAATAATTCCTCAAAAAATAATTGAACATCAATGCAATAAAAATTTAAAATGATAAGATCATATTTTAAGATAATATTTTATAATATTGTCGAATCTAACAACCTGTCAGTTAAAAGTAAAAATAAAAAGTTACCTGAAACGAAAATCATCATAAGAGTATTTATTAAAAGTAGAAAATAATTGTGTACGTAATGTTTGTACATTATACAGGTCTTATCAAGAAATATTGCCGTACTACCTGAAGTCAGAGCGCGCAAATCTCAAAAGATTACAAAATTCACCCTGGCACGGTCGAGACGGAGAGCTAGCTGTAGAATACGTGCCATTTAGGTAAAACAGTTGTTTTAGGTCACAAATTCGCAACAGTGGTGCGTTCAGCGGGGCGATGAAGGTTTGTGCGTTCTTTCCGCGCAATCGTGTGTACAAGACACATCCAACACAAGATACAGTGTACGCGCAAGCGTTGAACGCCCCGCTGAACGCACCTCCGTTCCGAATTGGCAGCCTCAGTTATTTATCATAAAATGTACACTACAATTACGAATTTTTCAAAACTTTTCAGGTCCAAGTTATCCAAAGCTTTCCTAGATGCAGGAAAATATCTAGGTCATCGCAGAGTAGACTATAACAGTCCGGATTATTTCGGCTTCAGCTATATACAAGCAACCATGTCCAAAGGTCACCGTTGGAGTAGCGCAAAAGCATTCCTTCACAGCAAAAAGAAACGGAAAAACTTACATATTCTTCACAGCACTAGAGCTACTAAAGTCTTGATCGACCCAGCAACAAAAACAGCATATGGAGTAGAATTTCAGAGAAACGGGCGTGTATACCAAATAAAAGCAAAGAAAGAAGTCATTCTGTCTGCTGGACCAATTGAATCTCCACATTTATTGATGCTTTCTGGCATCGGTCCAAAAGAACACTTAGAATCTTTCGACATACCAGTTGTGCAAGACTTGAGAGTAGGAGAAACATTGTATGACCACATAACATTTCCGGCATTACCCTTCATTTTAAACACTACTCGATTGACTATTATTGAAAGAAGAGAATCGACGATTGAGAATTTTGTAAAGTTCTCTCAATATGGAGACGGTCCTATGTCATCCTTAGCTGGTGTGGAAACAATCGGTTACATCAAAACTAATGAATCTGATGAATTGGGTGATTTACCTGATGTAGAGTTACTAGGAGGATGTGCATCTTTAGCTTCAGATGAAGGAAATATTGTTGCTAAGGGAATACATTTAGCTGATTGGCTGTATAGAGACACTTTCAAACCACTTGAAAACCTTGAGAGCTTTTCAATTCTATTCATGTTACTACATCCTAAATCTAAAGGACATTTGAAATTGAGATCGAGAAACCCATTTGATTATCCCAAACTTTACGGCAACTACTTGACGCATCCGAAGGACGTAGCTACTGTAATAGCAGCAATACGGTATATAATAAAGCTAGTCGATACTCCTCCATTCCAAAAATATGGAGCAAAGTTACATACTAAGAAGTTTCCTAATTGTGTTCAATACGAATTCGGTAGTGATAATTACTGGGAGTGTGCTATAAGGACAGTTACTTCGACACTGCATCATCAAATTGCAACTTGTAAAATGGGACCAGCATGGGATCCTGATGCAGTAGTGGATCCTGAACTTCGAGTGTATGGCGTGAATAACTTACGTGTCGTAGACAGCAGTGTGATCCCAAGGACCATAGTGGCACATACAAACGCACCCGCGATTATGATTGGGGAAAAAGCTGCAGATATGATTAAACGAAGTTGGGGAATGGTTTCGTAATATTTATATTAATTAGGGTTCGAAATTATGAACATATTTATTTTCCTTGATAATTATCTGATAATATATCCAGTAATTATCCATGCCGATTAATCGTCATGTCTCTTTAATTTTTAACAAACAGAGAGAAAATTAAATAAACATGAATAAAAATCTGCGGGGAAAACAAGTTGGTTTCTGACTTTTTGAGATTGACATTTGACACATTTTGATACATCTCTGATACAAACACATGGCACAGACATTGATTGCTAGCAATAGCATTTTGCTTATCTCATCAATTTTATAAATATCAAGGTATAACTATAACAAAGATAATTATCAATTATCAACAATAACTTAACACTTTGAACCCTGATATTATATTACTGTCCTTTGAGAATCACTAAGGGTCGTATTCTAGAACTCTACTCAATGCTCAAGTCAGGATTGCACTGGAAACACAAGCACTGGAAATACGACTCTAATGGCAGGGACTTAAGTATGATTTCGAGTGCTTTAAACCATACTCAAATCCTGACTTGAGCATTGAGTAGAGTTCTAGAATACGACCCTCAGTCAGTCATTGTTACATCTTTTATTAAGTACAGTGAGTGAAAGAGAAACAAAATTAGAGCATTACTAAAATATACATAACAAGAGGATGAATGATTTTAATGAGATTTAAATGTTAGTTTATTATTTCAATTCATCAAAATAATAATGACAAAGAAACTTACAATTTATCAATCTTATAATGCAGTGACTCACACAGAAATTGAAAGTTATTTCTTATGGAGAACCTATACAATATTGTATTCTGCCCTCATAATGAAAAAAGGCACAACTATGCGTAATTTATATTGCAGTTGTGCCTTTTTTGTTCTGAGGGCAGTATTGAACTAACTGAACAAGATAACAGGGATTTACTTAGCATGTTATCTTCTCAATGGATATCTGTATGACTAAAATACTTGTCAGCATAACAAACTATACCTGTACTGCTGAAAACATGTGTACTGATAAGATTTTTACATATACATACATATCGTAGGAATTTTATGTGGATTACTCACTATCAGCTAATAAATTATTGTGCAATAAAATAACATAAAATAAGGGAATTTTATTTCAAAAATGACATCCATCCATATTATGATTACAAAATTTCATATATGCGTATATGAAATAATTTTATTAATGTATTTAATGCATATCAATATTGATGAACTGAATAGTTATAGAATCAATTAAAATTAAAAGTTGTCTTTTACTATTTTAATTCTAAAATTAAAAATATTATTTTTATTGATTTTGTGTGCGTTTTGTGGTTATACAAAATTAATTCCAGCAATGTATAAAACAAAAATATTGTGTCTAAAAGTTTAGTGGTTTGATTTTAAAACAATATGATGTTGTTAAAATTTATTAAGATTAAGGTGGATCACTATCATGTTTCTTAGACTTTCTAAAAAAGACATCTTGAGTCAAGATTCTTGACACAAAGAATATGCACTGATTAAAGATACATTGAACTAACAAAAATAATACAATATTTCTGTACTTCAAATA